GGCGTAAGTTTTGACAAGACCTTTCAAGATTGGGATATTTTCTTAAAAAACCTTATTCTCGATGAATGTAAATCTTAGGAGTTATTAATTAACAATGAAAATTAAGTGCATTTAGCGTCCTTGACTGAAAGCTCCCTATAGAAGGTTAATTTATAAACCCTTTTAGAGCCAAATTTCAACAAAGCATTTGAAGTTTCACATATTCGTGGTTGATTAATTTTGCAAACTTGCACATACACTTTTAATCTCCATTTTGCATATGCTTATACCTATCTGCGAATTACAAATTGCATATGCGCCGTAGAATTTGCATACATCCAAGCAGAACGTTCACTCCTGCAGAGAGACTTTTACAAATGTGACCTCTTCTAACTTATATGAGTAAAATATGGAAAACTCACTGTCACATAGAATGTAGAGCAAAAAAAAAAAAAAAAAAATGGTGATGAAAGTGCTTGCCTGTGATTGGGAAAACAATAAATTCCCCAGTCCCTCCATGCAAAGAGGAGACCTTTGCCTTTTCCTTTTCCTCCTTCTCTCACACTAACTGAATGTGGGTGGGAAGCAGTAGAAACAGAAAGGGTCATGTTTGCTCCTCAAAATTTGAAGATGGTGTTTTTTTCCTTTGCCACAGATGCTCCGTGCTCATCAGTTGCTGTGTACTTAAGAGAGAGAAGAGAGAGAGAGAAATTGCCAATAACACTGGTAACCTTAAGTGTAGGCATGCATAAAAATTTGCTGGAAATTGGGTTGTGGTACATGTTCTTATTTTAGCTTTGCCCTTGTTAACGTCTTTTTAATAAACAGGTGCATACACTTCCCCAAGCTGTCACTGTTGTTTACCCAGTCTGTACGCTTTATAAATCTACTAATGGAATAGACCCAATCATCTTACAGATCTGTTTTAATAAGCTAGAGTCGCAAAGTTTTCAGGAAAATGCTTCCTGGTAAAGGAACGCTGCTGGTAGCGTGGATACGAGCTTTACAAGCTCTGCTTTTAAAGATAAAAGAATATGACACTTCCATTTGTTTGTTCAGCACAATGTTCTGTGCAGAGTTTCATGCACACTTGACATTAAGATTAGCAACAAAGTGGGAGGGATAGAGGTAAAGGGAAACTGAAAGATACRTGAAGGGCGGAAAAGGGTTTTCTAGCAGTATTGGAAATCCAGGGCACTCTCCCCACCGAGTAAGTGGGACTCGGGGTTATTTGCACTTCAGGCCCCCACAGAAGTTTCATTCTTCTCTGCACCTCCTAACCCAGGACAGAAGAGCTGGTCGCAAGCAGAGGGAGACACTGTTTTGATTGCTAGGAAGTGGAGGAAGGTTTTCAGTGTAATTCTCCCACTTCCTCAGCAAGTGCTTTACCCTTCAGGCTATTATGCAAAACGGGGGGGTTGCTCACTCAGTGCAGCACCAGCCCAAACCGCCTGTCCTTGGGAAAGGCTCCTAAAGGGTGACTCCCAAAGGGGTGGAGGAGCCTTGCTGCACGGGCTGTCCTTAGCAGCTGCCTTCTCACCGGTTATTTAGCGACTCGGGCTGTTGCTCTGCCCTCGCCACACCTGCGAGCCTGCTTGGGTGAGCACATGGACATTGAMACACAAATTCTGCTGAGAGCACTGAGATAGACCCATATCTACTCTGCAAACAGCCCAAAGACTCCCTAGGCGCTCTCTAAAAGGTCTAAATATCCAACCTTGGTTCCGGATGGTGCTAAGGGGACTCAATAACTGCTTGCTGTTSCGGTGCAGTTTTATGTTATTGGGTCTATCTCTGCGCTTGGAGAGCGGCGGCTCTAACGAAGCTGCTAGTTGCAGTCAATAAATTAGAGAGAAGCTGCATTAATAGCTATACTACTGTTGGAATAGGTAAATAAGTCAAAGGTACGTAATTAACTGTGTTTTCATTTCATAAGTTTTTAAGTCACATCGCTGGATATCAGCACTGTCCGATCCTAGATGGCAAAACGTTAATTGCAGAAATTTCCTGTTAAGTAATACCCTGGGAAGAGCTTCTGTATTTAATTCTTCGGTGAAGGTGTCAGTTTGATAGCCCTGGAGAATGTAATCTGTAATATTTATCTCCCGAGAAGTTAGAGAGCGGCAAAGTAAGCTTTCCCTGTCTCATCACAGTTATCACATTTCTTCAGGGCTGGATGGGTTGTTCTGTACTTCTGTATTTCACCTTTCTATAAATACCACCTGTAGGGCAGCAACAGGGGAATTTCTATGATAGAGGAAACTAGTCCACTATGTATTCGTCTGCAAACAGTAGTATTTTAAACAAGGGCTACCTATGTTGTCACTGTATGGGGACAATTTCTGCTAGATGCCAACCTGGTCTGAACTCAAGTCTATGACCTGCGTGTGGAAAGCTAAATAACCTTATAGAAATACCTGAAGATTTGCAGCTCTTAAGAGCGTATTTTAAGTGACTGAATCTAGAGCTTCGTGTGACTTCACGGGGTTATGAGTGGCTCRGTGCCTCATTAGGTCAGAAATCCTTGAGTACCCTCAACGCAGGCCTGATTCATGGTGCTTCGCAAGGAACTACGCTCATGATGCAGACTTCACTATTAGCATTATTCTTTCTAGGAGAAAGACAAAAAATAAAGAAAACGACCCTTCACAGCAGCAAGACTGGATCTAGGACAGATAGAGTGATTTGCAATGAAAAAAGTTGCAGAGGGGCTCATTAGAGGCAAAGTTATTAGGCCGAGCAAACAGTTAATCCCTGTCACACAGGGGTAACATAGTTGCCAGCCTTGAACTCTAAATTAAAGGCACTCTCTGAGCGCGAGAGAAGTGACTCTTTTCTGCAGCTTCCTCGGTGCCATCCGTCTACCATAATGCTGTGGTCTTTTTCTTTCTTTAAATTCTGGGCTCCAACTAATTACTGGCAGGAAGTGCCTATTTTTATGCCATTAGTATGCAAATGAGTGAGAAGTAGAAAAATATTCTAAAGGAACTGCTACAATATCTGTCCACAGATTACCGGCCAATTAGAAGATGGGATTAGGGCGGCAGGACCCCAAAAGGGTATGGCCAAAGTCTTTCTGCTTGGGTGCCCAAAGTCTGGTTTCAATGGGAGCTGTACATACATAGCGCTTTTCCTCCAAAAAAAAAAAAAAAGGGGGGGGGGGGAAGGAAAAAAAAAATCAAGCTTAAATTGCCTACTTGCAAATTAGCACCTTTATACTTTTAAAAAAAGGAATGCCAGCACTTCCTTGCCTTGTTTTTTTTTTTCTCCAACTTGGGCATTGGGGTGATGTGTCCTGCTGCCCGTGCTGCAGCCTGACGAGAAGGTGAGTTTGGGGAGGAATTGTCCTCCTTCCCAACTCAGTGCAGTGACAGGGTGAAATCCTGCACTTCCGAAATTATTTATGGGAGGGATGCAGGTTAAAAGAGATCTTTGGGAACTATTACTTCTACCTAGGTACAACAACAGGCCCAAGAGAATAAGAAATGAGCAAGCTGTGTYTGTTTCAGGCCATGTCCTGGCATTCCCAGAGTTTCGTGCCACCTGGAACCTGAAGTTTTTGAAGAAAGTCTAGAAAAGAGTGACACGGAAACAAGACATTGCTGGTGCCAACTACCTTCCCCTCCTGCTTTCCCCAAAACCGATTAACAAATGGGGGGAAAATAAAGGGGGTATTTAAAAAGAAAATTGTTCCTGAAGCTAAAGCCACCCTCCCTCTTCAACTCTTCTCACAGCCAGACTTCAACAACACTGCTCAATACCAACCCACTGGCCACTACTTCTCGTTTTGGCCCCCCGTTTAAAAGGAAAAGCAAACACACCAGCTGGCATTTATTATTTATTAGCTTCCCTCCCCCGCGTTCCTCCCCAAGTCCCTCCCGGTGGCGGCGCGGCCTCCCCGGCGCCCATGGCCGGGGCCGCCGCAGGTGGGGCGGCCGGCGGGGCCCGATGGCGGCGGCGGGAAGGGATGGGAAGGGAAGGGGGGTGCGGGGAGGCCGGCGCGGCGGGGAGGAGGGAGGGACGGCGGCGGCGCGGCGGTGCCGGCGGTGCGCGCGAGTGACAAGGAAGAGGAGGAGGAGGAGGAGGAGGTGAGTCCCCTCGGGGTGGGCCGAGCAGCGGGGCCGCCCGAGCGAGGCGGGAGGCAGGGCGGGCGCGAAGGGGTCAGCGCGGCGGGGCGGGCGCTCGGCCGCCGGCGGAGGAGGAGGAGAGCGGAGCGGAGCCCGGCCCCGCCGAGGAGCCGCCGCCGTGCAGGGGGGAGGAGAGGGCGGCCGCCTAACATGGCTCCCGGCACCTGCGGCGCGCCCGCCGCCTCGCCCCGGCACCCCCTAAGATGGCTCCGCGCGCGCGGCGAGGCGGCCGCCCGCGGCCCCGCCGCCTCCGCGCCGGCCCTAACATGGCGGCCGCCAGGGCGCGTGTCCCCGCGCGCGGCCGCGCTGCCCGAGGGCGGCCGAGACCCGCGGGGCGGCCCCGCCGGGCCTTGCCCCGAGCCCCGCTCCCGGCAGCCTGGGAGCGCCGCTAACAACAGTAATTCCTGTTATCTCCATTAAAGAGGATTCTGCGGGGCAGGGGCCGCGGTCTGAGGCGGTTTTGGGACCGCGAGCCGGGTTTTGCGCCACGTGCCGCCACGAAGCGCTCAAATACCAACACCTGTGCGATAGCCACGCRGCTAAAAAACAGTTGTGAAAGCTCCAGCTTCCCCCCGGCCTCGCCGCGAGAGCGCTGAAGGGCCAGGGGAAACGCAGAGATGTAAAACGTTAAAATCGCCCTGGTGTTTTGCCGCTCTGAAGGCAGAAGCGGCGCGCGAGGGGACAGCGGAGGGGCCGCAGCTCGGGGGACGTGTCTCGAATGAACGAGACTTGGCAGGTCTGCACAAGCCCTTTAACACATGGCCGTGCGGCGACTGCGGTAGCGGGCTGGGGGAGAGAAAGCRCTCGAGGTGCAAATGCATGCACTTTTTAAACTTTTTTTTTTCATTATTATTATAGGGAGTGGGGGGAAAGAGCTGGAGAGCAGGAGCGGCGCTTTGGGGCTTCCCGAGACGTAGGTGCTGYTGCCGTGGTTGGAGTGCAGCACGATAGGCAGGTAAAGATGAGTAGGGATTTTAGAGGGGCTGATAACAATGGTTTTGGCATAATTAAATAGAGCTATTTTATTGGACTCTATTAACCTGGTTAACCTTAAATCTTAACCATGACAGGGTTTTCATGTAAAGAGTCTCCATACAAAGTGCAATATTGAATTTTAATTGGAGCTTTCAAGACCTAATGTGGAATGTATTCTTCTTGCTTCATCCGCTTTTTCTTTTCCTCCTTTCCTTTTTATTGGAACGCCAGACATAGTAAAGCGCATTGGAAGAATACTTTTTGATATAAGCTTAGGTAGTGTGAGTCTAGATTACATAAAATCAATCTTGATAAAACAATTAAGGATTACTTTTTTTGAGTGTTTTAATTAATTTATTTTGATATATATTCCCACAGCATATAGAAGAATATATAGAAGCATRTGAAGATCATCCTGACTCAGTATCTCAGTCTTTATGATCCTTCTAAATGTTTTGCCAGTTTATTGGTTGATCAGTGGGCAGTAACCGTTGAACCTAAGAAACTATCCTGTTCTGTTTTTGTTTTGCATTTACAAGTACAGCACAAAAAGTTAATTTCTGTGCTGATGAATGTACAATTTAAAGTAAGGGTGCTAGTATTTTTATGATGACTTTAACTACTTTTGTTTAGAATAGCGCACTAGAGGTAACAACAGCACAAACACAAGTTAGTGCAGTGCCCCTGTTCCACAGAGTTTAGCTTAAATTGGCTAAGTTCCTATAAGCTATTTAAGTTCCCAAATGATTAATGGGATGCTAGCACACATTTAACTTGGTAAAATTTAAAAAACTATTCAGAAAAGTGTTGGGAAGGGATAAGCCAGATGGGAAGCTTTCCAAAAAGAGGGCCTCACCAAAATGGCAGAGAACRAAATAATAAAGAGATAAGGAGTGAAGTAGTCTCTAAGTAGTGATTAAAAACTATAAACCTGGCATAAAACTGTCTTTCAGTGAGATATGAATGGCAGGTACTGCCGTGGCCAACTTGGGAAGGGTCTGTGGTGTAAATGTTGAATTTGATTYGAGTTACATAAGCCTGTTAATTAGCCCTTGCTGATGCTCCACTTGGTYCTGCTTGGTAACGAGTTCAGCTGCTACTGTTGCTGTAGTTGGAGTTTCTACAGTGCCTGAGTTGCAGCTGAAACTTGTCATTTAGGCTGCTAAGTCACTTAGACTCTAGCGTAAAAGTTATACAACTTCCTTAATGTTGTTTTAAAACCAAAATATAGGCATATTTCAAAGTCGTGTTTGGCTGAAGGCCCGTTTTTTTTTTTTTGAGTGGCTGGTAAAAGTAATAAACTATGCTCAAACATTTCTGCTCAATAAAATTTGAGAATAGGCAAACAAAAAGTTCTTGGTTTAGCTTTTTATAAATGTTTTCTACACCATAAGGCTGCRGTGTTTGACATTGTCTGTAGCTGGAGGAAGAGCCAAGTGTCTTGAGCTTTTCAGGCCTATGACCTACACTGTAGACCAGTTATTTTATAACTAGTTTGACCAGGACTGCGAAGGCTAATGGTCCATGACTGATATGCAAAGATTTGGACTGATATTCAAAGATTTTTATCTTGTCTGGTTAAGTAATCAGATAAACTACTACTCTTTCTATGCAAGTTGGATACTGAATTACATGGTCACAAGAAACATGCGTATCTTGCTTGAACATTTAATCCTATGTGAGAACAGAATTGYGTCCTGTTGTTAGGAAATATGCTAAGGATCTACTCTAAGGTTAGATTTTAGTAATGCTAATGGGAATAATGAGACCTTAATGAGACCTTTTGTTTCCTRCTGGTTAGGAGACACAGGACGCGTAGTGAGAGCTGTTAGGGTCGCTAAAGGTCCCTTCCAACCTTAAGAATTCTATCATTCTATGAGAGTAGTAGCAAAAAAGGCAAACAATGTGAAAACTTGAAAAGAATGGGTATCTGATTTGTCTTGACTAGTTTTATGTCTTACTGCTAACTTAAAAAACAAATGCAAAGAAGAGAACAAACTCTATTTTGAWTATATATGCCAGCATCTTATGTAGCAGACGACCATGTTTTACTAATATGTTAGCTACTGTCATTTTTTTTTCTATTTGCATGTGCGAAACACTCTCGACCAAGTTTGTAAAGCAGCAAAATCATCATAATCTTTGGTGGCAGAGTTGTTGAAGAGGAGCTCTGGAGCGTCTTCCTCCTCCTGCCCCCAGCCATCACTAAGCGGTGCAGTTAGCAGTGGTAATGCAGTGCCTTGATGCTCTGGGGACATAGACCCAGTGTGAATTTCACTTCTGAAGAGATAAATCTCAAAGCATGTCTTAAATATACACCTTTGCTATCCATATTGCTCCACATCAGATGTGAAAGTAAAAAATAAATGTGTGAAGCACAAGACAGAACATATGATCTGTAAATCTAAAAACCACATCTCCAGACGATCTATTATCCAAAATCCTGGTCTGTGCATATATGCGTGCTTTATTGTAGATCTGCAGTATTTCCTGTAGGCAAGAAATCAAAGTTCTTTTCAATTTATAAATGGCAATAAGTGGGGAAGCCCGAACTTCAAATATTGCTAGTATTTTGGGCAAGGGTACTTCTTTGATGTATGAATCGGAGGTGGAGAAATATCTAGAATTGGAATATGGTACTTGGAAGAAAATCAGCAAGGTCAGGCACTGAATGGCACTTAGCTTGTGTCCCAAAACATGATTTGATAGGATTATTTGCAGGAAGAACACAACTGTTGAGGCTTAAATCTCCAAATAAGCAACTTTGGTGTAGATATGTGCCTGTGTGTCTACGTGCATGTGATCAAAAATATATATGTGAAATATAAAGCACAGGTTTAGCAAAAGTTTTTTCACCTGTATTCCATGTGTAACTGAGTTTGTGGCCATGTTCATACTTTAATTTTTTTTTAATCTATTGTTATAAAGGCAGCCTTAAAAAAATGCTAGGTTAAGAAAAAAGAATTTTAAAATGGTGTGTCTTAAAACCTCTAACAGCAGCRCAACAATCCTTGCGACAGCATTGCCGGTTTTGCTTCTCCCTTGTTCTCCAGTTTTGTCTCTGGATTATTTCTGAGCAGTCATATTCCATTTTTGTTCAATAAGTTGGTTTTATCTTAATGAAGACCAATAGCGTGAGCACAGTATTACCATAAATCCCGTGGGAATGTTTTCCTGCAAGTGCCAGAGCAATTGTTCTTAAACAGGTATTTTTGGCCATGTATTTGCCTACAGAAAGCTCATAGCAATCATAGCCTTGATGAATAAAATACCTTTTCTCTTATGGTCACATGTGAAGCGTGTAATTGTTATACTTGAGATTTACTGACCTCGAGTGCAAGATTCCTTTCATACTTTCTATTAGAACCTGTCACTGTGGGGCTGTGTGTAGGAAACTTCACACCTAACTCTGCTTGTGTTTAGGTTTCGTGCAATGCAGCCTTTTATTTCTGCTCTGAGGTGGAAGATTTGGCTTTGTTTGCACTGATAGAGCTCAGAGGTCAAGTGTATTGGAAGGAAAGATGGGGATCTCACTRTTGGTGGTGAATTCAGTCTAAAAAGCCTCCCCATCTGAAAAATAAGCTAGCTAGCTCTTCCTTGCAAGGCCTAATAAAGCAGAGGGGATAAAAATATATCTGTTAAAAAGTCATTATGTGAAAGAACTTCCTGGATATCGCAAAACTTTGAGCATATGTGGAAAGGTARATGTGTATGAATGTGGGTTTAGTGGCAGAGAGCTTGGGAGTACTGTGGGGAAGAGATCTGTTTTGTGACCAGTTTTTGGAAAAAGGATGGTATGCTTCCTGCTTTTTTTTTTAAACAGATTGTTTTGGAGAGAGGAAAAAAAAAAGATTTGGAGTTGCATGTTAACTTTATTATTTTGGAYTATTTTACAGCATAGGTTTTGATTCTGTTTTCATAGAGTCTTATTTGCAAAGTTACACTTCTGCGAGTAAAATAAGAACAAAATCTGTTGCATTGTGAAAACAACAAGGTGTGTTTTTAGAAATCTCTTGCCTGGTGGATATAGTCAAACGAGTGCCTTTTTTTTTTTCCTAGAAACACTATTATTTCCGACATACGAGAACTTTGATCTTTTAACAAAGCGCAAAGCCTCATTCATCTGGTGCTCAACATCATACTTACTGTTTATCTTCCTGCTCTGATATTTACTTCACATACAAATATTCCAGAAGTAACTAGAACATAAAAGAAGAAATTTGGCAAGTAGTCTGTGTCTCTTGTATCTCTTAAGCTATAAGAGGTATTGTATTTCTTATGCTCTGTTTTCAAGGTTTACTCGAATAATATGCTGGAAGGTGATTTTACAGATTAACTAATCCAACTGTATTCTGTGAAATCCTGTGTTTTGAGATTTCCCACTTGAAACTTTGGCCTTTGCCCTTGCCTGTCTGTTAGATTGTATGGTGAATTTCTGGTTGTAAATAGGCTGAGATAAATTCAGGTTCTCCAAAAATAATGTGGTCTTGTTTGATTTAGTGAATAATTTCTTGCAAAGCAAGAAGCACTTTAAGCAAACTTTTGTAAGAAGTATGCTTTATTATCACCAAGTCAGCTTCCTTTTTGGTTGTAATTTAAATGTGAAGGGAGGATTTATAGAAATGACTGTAGGGTAGTGCTGGCCTAATTAGTCTTTATTTCTGGCAAAGCATAAAAAATTGGTCTTTCTGTGCCTAAAACTAATAGTGTGTTTGTTATTTAATCTGTATGCCTTTTGTAAAACAAATGATTGTCCTAATATGTGCAAAATAGACACATTTAAGGTTCCTGTAATTTGACATGCTCTTTCAGGGAATCATTTAGGCTTTTAGTTGGTAAACTAACAAGGTAGACTCTTTCCTTTGCATATATTTATATACACATATATATTTATATTTTATATATATAAAAGAATTTTGGGGAAATAATACTAGCTGAACTGTAGCTTCTACTGGTGATTTTGGAATTGAACCTGGATTTTCTAGTAATTTCTAGGATTAAGTGCAGAACACTGCAATGCTTTATGAAAGTACTAATACCTAATAAAAGATTTCACAAAGTTTTAGCATTATTCATGTGTTGTGCTCCCTGTTGAAGACTGACTTGTAGCTCTTCCAGTTTGGGGCTATTTTCCCTTATTCGGTTGAATTGCCCCTTATTGGTATTTCACCCGGAAGTGACCCAGGTGACTTGCAGAATTCCATCACCTCCAGCCGCACTGTGTGTGTGCAGTGTCTCTGCTAATCAGGCTTAAAGAGGGGCATTGAGCACATTCATGCCCCCAAACCTGCCCGAAAAGCTCCAAGTGAGGCTGGGCATGTGACACGAWCGCTCCTCCGTGCCTTGTGCCTGTCCCTGCGAGCAGCAGCCRGTGCCCCGCGCGGCTCCTGCCCCGCGTCCCGCAGGACGAAGCCAGTTCCTAGGCTCCCTTTAGCAGACCTGCTTCACCATTAAGCTTTCAAGTCGCAGCCCCCAACGTGGGACTGTGGTTTCATCACGGCTGTGGCATTGCTGTTTACGCTGTGCGTTTGCTTCTGTGCTACAGTGAATATTGTGCTGTCCTTTAGGTTGAATGTGGGAGAAGGGGGAAGCTGCACTTAGAGCATCTGTGCGCAATCTTTGCGACAAGTAGGACCCTCTGGAAAGCTGTTACTGTTGGGGCAGAACTAATCATTCCTTGTGAAATTATATAAGGAGAATTAGCTCTGACTCTACCTCATTTCCTTTCATACTCCTGTGAAAATAAGCTTAGAAACATCAGCCCTTTCTTCCTTATTTCTCCAAACTAAGTACTTTATTWAATATTACTTTTTATTAAGGTTTATTTGTGGCTATAAACAAAAACAATTCCATGTATTTCTGGTTACTAACAGGAGGTACCTCCTTGTCCAGTTTGTGAGTTTTAGGTTTCCTTCTCACAATTAGATTCCCAGGTTTAGTTGCCATTGGCTTCTCYGTACTCAGACTTTATTTCCCCAGGGATCACTCAGAGTACCTCATATTTAAGGAAGCAGCCTTGATGTGACAGAAAATTGTCAGTCACCGAGTGCCTTGGTTATTTAGGAAAAAAGGGAGRTATTGAAAGCCCACTTGGAGCTCTAAGGAGCAGCACAGTCACCTGCTGGTTTGCCTGGCAGGGGCCTAAACTCCTGCAGCCCTTTGGCTTAGAGCAGACAGGGCAGAGAGAACCCTAGAGGTCGTTGAGCCTGAGCTCAAGCCCACGGTTGTATTTGAGAGCAGATAGTCCCATCACAAAGCAGGATAAATATGCACAGTTTCTGACAAATAGTTTGTCTTAGGGGGTCACTAAAACGTTTGGTGGAGATTTCTGTAACCTCTCTATAACCYGATCCATTCTATAACTATCTCTAGAAGTAATTTCTTCAAATACCTTTTCTAATATTTTTTCTAACCAGTTAAGCTTCTTAGGCATTTTTTATTTTTTTCACTTTGTGGATATTGCAGTAGTGGGGTAGGTTTGTCAKTTTTATAACTGTTGTTAACCTATTTTCAAGCCTGTGCCCATCTTTGTTTAGTCTTCTTATCCCCATATTCAGCAAACTCATTTCCCTTTAAGTTTTTGAGACTGCTCTTTTTTTTTCTTTTTTCTTCTCTCTGCACTCTTCCCAGGTTTCTGTGTATGTGTATCCAGACCTTGATGTAACAAGCTTAGCAGTGGTGAAGAACAGAATAAATCTTACTGTCTTTTGCATGGGACATTCCCGATACTATATAGTCAAATGATTTTTTTTCCCTTTTTGCAGCATCACATTAGTAGTGATGTCAGTATGTGAGCTGGTTAAAATCCCCTATTTTAGTTCTGCTGCTTAATCATTTGTTTTTGGAGCAGCTTGAATTTTAGCCCTGTGTCCCAGGATGTGTATGGTCCTTCCTGGGGACTTACAGAATTTTGTGGGTCATCCAGGTGAAAAATGAAAATTTTAAGTAATCCTGCACTGAAAATAGTGGAATTCAGTTGAGAAAGCGGTGTTTTTTTTTTTTCTTCAGTTTTCCAGCAAACTTCTATTGGCTAATCYGAACACTTCTTTTAAAATCAATCCTGCTCATGTTTTGTTTATTTTCTGTTGCTTGTTGTTCCTTCCTAGGAGAAAAATTTCTGAAGGCTTAAAAGGTGTCATTAAGAAAGAAAAGCTTAAGCTGGCTGACGAACACAAAGCTTGTCATTGCTTTTAGCAGTGGGAAGAATCCTGCAGCCTGGGTCTCACTGCAGGTCTGGCCTCCGAGGGCACCTCCACAGACTGCCCAGTGCCTGCTCAAAGCAGGGGCAGCTGGAGCAGTTGTCCTTGGAGCCTGAGCAGCTTGTTCCTGGTATGCCGTGTTCCTGGTAAATAAAGTCTTTGAGAACATTCGCACTGACTCCTGCCCCTCTGAGTGTTCACTGGGTCCATCAGGAAGGTGTCCAAAAATCACTTGTAAGTAATAGGGCAAATACAAATGCGCAGACTCCTGCTTTAAGTCACTTGAGTTGGATTCATCCACAAAAAGTCATTTTTTATGGCTGCTAGATCAACACATTAGGAAAAAAAAAGGAGACTTTGATCTAACAGATCTAAGTATTTGAAGTAAGTGTTACTTGCTGAATCGCACAGAGAAAGGAGAAGGAGAAAAGGGTATCTGTACTTCAAAACCTTTTTGTCTTGGTATTTGGAGCATAATCTGCAGGCGTTTCTCTTTTATGTTACTGTTTTAGTACACCTGATGTGATCAGAAACAGTTTATCTTATCCTCTGCCTTTAAGTTCCCCAAAAGTAAGGAGGGAAGAGATGCTGCTTGAAAGWGTCCGGGAGTAACAAAGTCGGTGGCTTATAGTTAAGGCAGATGTGGTTGCAACATCTGTGTCTGGGAGAGTTGCAGTCTGATCAGCATTCTGTCTTCAGCTTCCTGGGATTCCTGCAGAAATGCTGCAGATAAGACGTGTCCTTTGAAGTTTTAAAATGCTTCTGCCCAGATTAGAAAGCTCTTCCTTGCTAGACCCACAGGAAGCACATCTCCTAGAGTGAAGCCAAATTGATAGYGTTATTAAATATTTCTTTTCAGGCTCTCCGGTGGCGGCTCTTGTCTGCGGAGCCTGTCTGGGGAGAAGAGCCTCCACGGTTGCCTCCATGTATTGACTGGCTGTGGATGTAGCCTTGACACTTAACTGTGCATAGTCGTTCCCAGCTCGGAAGCTGTGGTGTGATCCAACAGTTTGGGAGGATTTTTTTCACCTTTTCTTTAAGCTGAACTCAGTGCTGAAAACGTGGAGCTGACTGTATTTTTATTAGAGCACAACCTAGAATAATAGACATTACAAAGTGTTGAAGTCAGATAAAAGCTTTCCAMACGAAAGTCCCTCTTGCCAGCTCTATTGTTGCTAACTGGGCCCTTCCCCTTGAGTTCATCCTCAGTGGCTGTGCCAGCTGAGATGCTCTTGCTTCTTTCCACTTCCAGGGAAGTTCCGCCATCCTGGTGTGCAGCCCATGGGAAAAGGCAGGCAGGGGCCCTGGCTCTGCTCCAGCAAAAACCTTTGGGAAGGCCCTTCAGTGAGCAGCAAAGGGCAGATGCAGCAGGTTCTCCCTGCCCCGGGAGGGGAGAGGCTCTAGGAAGCTGAAGGATATGTCTGCAGAAGAGATGTCCTGCAAGTGAAATCATAAACCAGGAACTGGATGACGCGAAGGTAACTTCAAAATGAGAAAAGCAGGTGGTTTGTATTACTTCCTTCGTGCTTCTTTTCATGTTGGTGTCATCATAGTGAAATACCACAAATGAGTGTGCTTTTTCTCCCAAAGCAATGCTGATTACCTGAATATTTATGCTTCGTGTTTAAAAATGTTGGAAGGACTGACCTTCTATAGCAGTAGGCTGTTCCTTGAATGGTTTCTAGAATTATTTTGGAGTTTGAGTAACATCTTCCACTGCAAACATTCCTGAAAGCAATTCTGAAACCTTTTAACTTTAGTGTTGCATTTAAAAATGTAAACTTTGAAAATATAGTTGCTGAATTCAAGCATTAATTACATAGGTTTGAAATGCTCAGTTTCATTTARAAAGTAGGATTTCTGATTTGTGTATAGCGATTGAAATAAATTACCAGTAAAAGGAAACATTCTAGTAACAAACAAGGGATGCCTAGAACTGGCTCTACCAACTGGAACTATTTAATTCATCCATCATTGAGGAAGAAAACTTGGAGTTTTCTCCAAGCATAGCTGTGGTACAAGTATTTTATATGATCTGAGGTTTGTCCAATCTGAAGCTCCCACCGCTTTTCCATTCCCCTCAATGGTCGAAGGGTTTGCTGTACATTTTATTTTCAGCATAATAACACACGAGTTGACTAGAGGATCATTTCGCATGTCAGGTTTTCCAGAGGGTTCTGGGAAATTATTTGTGGCTCTGTATGGCAAAGCTAAAAGTTATTGAAAATGTGTTAGRGTTTCATAATAAAACGAGTACGAAAAATATTGGTTTGGGAGCTAACTAAATGCTT